GCGGAGCCATAAGGTTCTGGCTTTGCGTATCCAGCGCCATAGGGCTCTGGCTTGGCATATCCGGCTCGACCGTCTCCCATAGCAGTTCCACGGTAGCCTTCAGGAGCAACGCTGGGGAAAGTAGGGCTTCGTGCGGGAGTTGGGTAGCCGGCACCAGCAGTGCTCTGAGACATGGAAGGCTGATGGGAGATGGACGCATGAGACATGGTTGCAGTGTGGGTGCTGGCTCGGGCGCCACCAGCACCGACTGGGACTTCAGAAGCAGGGAAGAGGTCATCATGGTCATGGCCGGCTCCGTCGCGGCGCTTCCTGATGCAGAACCAGGCCAGGCCAATGATGAGAACAAGACCGGCAACACCAACACCAGCACCAATACCAGCCTTGGCACCTGTGCTCAGGCCACTGTCGCTCCCGCTGTTGCTTCCGCTGTTGCCTCCGTCGCTGTTTCCGCTACCTGCGCTCGAGGTGGAAGAAGCACCGGATGATGCTGTCGTAGTTCTTGTCACAACGTCGGTGCTAACATTGAGGCTTGTTTCCGTCTGTGTGCTGGTGATTGTAGTGGTTGATGCGGCATCGGGATTCTTCGTTACGGTCAACTTGGATGTGACTTCCGTCTCCACAACCTTGGATACTGTCGCCTCGTCACTCTGGGTTTCAAACACGGTGGTTTTCTTTCCAGCAACGGTGGTCTCAACGACCACGGTGGAGGTCGCACGCTTGGCCAGGCGGACCAGATCAAAGGCGCCATCGAGGACAGCGGGGGCAGTGGTAGCGGCAGGAATCTCGGGAACAGCTCGCTTCGCGTTACCTGCTACGGTGGTAGTGACAATAACAATCTCCGTCTCGACATCTCCGCTCGCGGTAGTAGTCTCGGTCTCGACCTTGGTCTTTGTCGACGTAACGGTAACAGTCTTGGTCGATCCGATCGTGGTCTTGCTGGTGATTGTCTCGACATCTCCAGTGACAGTCTTGGTGGAAGTAACTACTACGTCGGCATCTGATGTCTTGCTTGAAGAAGTGGTCTTGCTATCGTCAGTCGAGCTCGAGCGAGAGGAAGAGGTGGTTGTCGTCTTGGCGTCATTGGTGCTGGTCTTGGGGGACTCAGAGGAAGAAGATTCGTCGTCCGCGCGTCGTTCGAGTCCTGCTCCAGCAGCTGTGCCGACGAGCACGCTGAACAGGGGAACTAGCAACAAGCCAGCTCGCATAGTGCCGATTGTAGGGAGTTAAGGAGAGAAAGAAAAAATATAAGACTTGGGACAAAAAAGGAGAGACGTTGAGTTGGGAGCGAATGAACGAATGAATTCCCTCCCGAGTGAATGGCGTACAAAGTGGTGCCGATCAATGGTGGTGAGGGAGTGGGCTGAAGGAGAGAGAACCAAGAGGAGGGAAATAAGCTTCGACCGAACAAAGTCACTGGCTGGGCGCAGCAACACAAAATGTGATGAGATGGGGCCGTAGGTAGGGGATGGATTCAGGCACCGCGGTAGCGCTGTTCAGTCAGCCGAATGGGGGTGAGAAATGAGTGGGGACGCCGTAGCCCAGCGATTGATTTTCCCGCCACGAAAGCGAGAAACACGATGGCGTGAAGTCAAAGAAACAATGGGCGGCGGCCGGGCCTGAACGTAATTGGCCGAGGTTGGTGCTAGCGACGAGGGCCCTATATGTGCTGCCCCTTCCTGCCTTCTATTTTGCAGTCTTTTCTTCTGTCCGTTCTGCTGGTACGAATTGCCACCTGAGAAAATAGGGCAAGCGACAGCGCAGACAGGGAAAATTTGCGATGAGGTGAACGCTGTCCCACGCCGGCTGCGGCTTTGGGGGTTACGCAAATTGGCCGTTACCTCGTACACGAGCCTGGCCTGTACCGAAGTGGAGCTGGGCACCCAGAACCGGACTGGCGCAATCGACTGCTCAATAGTAGGAATCCCTCAGAGCCGGGATGGGTGATTGTTCGGTGCCAGGATAGCGAAAGAGGCGACAGATCTGGCAATGTTGAGGCATGTGCTGGCCGTGATGAATGTCTTGACGAAGCACTGGATTCTAGAGCGGCCGTGCAAAAGTGTGAGTGGAAGAGGGGAAGAAGCAAAAGCATGGCAGCACAAAGAGGTATTATTAGACCCTTTTGGGTAGGCCAAGCGGGAGGGGGCCTGCAACCCATCCGTTACCATACCATTACATTACCACAGCAGAGGTACCGTAGCATACTGTGTGGCCAGCGTGCTGGTGGTGTCAATCTGCTAGCGACGTTGATAGGTTACCTCGGCCACTGTGAACTCAACCAGCAGCACCCACAGGTCCCCCGCCTGCACTGCACTGTCGAGCAGCGAATGGAATGGGCGGAGAAGCCACCCCCGGGCAGGGCTTGCAGCCGCACTGCACGAAACCAGCCCAGGCCAGTACATTATGGAACCTCGTTCCAGCGACATCCCCCTGTCCCACCTGCGCCGCCCACACCTACCACTGACCAGCATCGCATCGACATGGGACGTTTTTGCTGTATGCACGGAGTACGGCATCCTTGGCCCAGCCGAGTGTGTGAACAAGTCCTGATTCCTGAAGCTACTGCAGACGCACATGTACCTGCTTTGCATGCTGAAGTCGCCAACGCACACATGTTCCCACGCTTGGCTTGATGGATTCTTCACCATTTCCCTCATGGCCGTATGCGATCCGGCGGACGAACCCCTTAACGCCTGCTCGCCCGCCCCGGGCTAATAATTGCGAATCGCACGCACAGTACATACATACTGAGGGGACTGGGTAAAAAGTACCCTCGCCTTGGTTCTGGCATCCATCACGCGGCGATCCACTTGCTCGGGGCCATGCCAAAACAGGCACCTGGTCAGTGAGGAGAATCAATGCCCTCCCTCACAGACCGATATCACCATATATTACTCCAATGCGACACTAACCCAACTCGAGACGTTCAGCGGCCAGACCTGGCCGGCGATTGTCATGCCGCCCCCCCTGCACCCGAGGACCTGCTCTTCATGGTATGTTGCAAGTTTTACAACTCACCTCTGTGGGCGAAACACACGATGTTACCAGCACATCTTCCTGTATCGGGTAGGTCACATGTGGGAATCGCTTTCGCGGTGCTTCAGAACCCTCAGTCCCCTCGCTTTTCTCCCTTGACTGATACATACGTACCCATAAATCAAGGTACGGGTGTAACTTGTTGACGTGTTGTCGCGTGCTGGCTGCGCAGCAACTGGTAGTGTGCACTAATTGCTCAGCATCCAGGTGTGGCTTGGGACATTTCATTGAGTGCAGTGGTCTTGGTGGATTGGTTGGTCGAGCCCAAAACATCGGGCTTAGACGGTGATCGTGCGCAAAGGGCAAGGCCATCTGCGGCTTACCTCACTGTCCACCAATCATTCATCTCTCCAACTACTTGTCATGTGGTCTGCCGCATGTACTCGATGCCCCACGGCGCTTCCGTCCCCAGCTTAACGATTCAATTGTAGAGTTGCACGATGTTAGTGGGGGCAGTGGTGAGGCTTGGGGCAGTCTGTGCATGGAAATTGTTCCTCAAATACACGTTGCTCGCCTCAGCATCTTGCTCCCTCACAGGACTATCCTTCGTTGGTCGACCTAGGAGACTCAACAGCCGAGCTGACTACCTGCATCAAAATATTTATAGATCGATCGGGCATGTAGGAGCGAAAATAACCACCGAACCTTAAAAAAGAACGATGCCACCGATATCAACTGTTGGGTCGTGCTTACATGCTCCTTCGAGAGGCACTAAACTTCCAGCCAACTAAAATCGATACTGTATTATTCAGCGCTATCTTATTCGCTTGTGGCTCGATATGGAAGACTGACAGGCAGCTGACTGCATTTTAACTCTGAAGGGCAGCATACGCCAATGGGTTTGCCTGGCCCGCCTACCGACGAACACGAGTAGGACCAACCACGCCGTCCTGGGGTGTACCGTTATCACAATACTTCCAATAAGCGACCTGCAAGTAATAGCTGCTATGCTACATATTTTTATCACTGAACCAACATAGCGGTTGGAAGCGCCGGATCTGAGGTACAACAGCAAATCACCACCGTCACAAGACCAACCACCAAAGCCTCGATTAGGCACAGCCACTTTGCACATGGTCAACCGAGAAACAGACCGAAACAGGAGCAGGAGCAGAGACGATGATAACGAAGAGAACGAACTAAAAGTTCAAGATTATGGTGGATCAGTCATCTCCATGCGAGACTCCATCGCTCTCCCCACGACGAGCTAGCCGTAGATCATAAGTCAAGTTTAATTGCTCCTTGCATAGGTAGACAGGTACTGTGTATTGCATAGATATCGGTGGCGAATCTCTCCTATCGAGAGGTCTCGGGACTAAAGGACGAGAGATTTGATTTGCCGGCGAAAACTGCGACACGTCTTCCAGACTGAAACATCATGAATACTGTTGATGCCAAAACACCCTTGAACTTGTGAGCCATTACTATGAACCATCTCAATATGCCATGAGGCTTCTTCGCGTTGGTCATTGCTAATTGCTGGGTCAAAGCTTTGCAGTAGTGAGGACATGTGTCTATGCCTATGGGCCTCCTGGTGAACAATCCTTGAGACATTCATTCATGGCCACTTGTTCATCTACGGTAATCACAATTGATACACATCTGCACACACAAAATCACGAGAAAGTAGGAACTTGACTAGTAGTAAAGTACGTCGCTTCTTGGTCAAAACATGACAAGTCGTTAATGTAACTCCGAGGCCCGGCCGCTTAGCTCCCTTTGATATCTCACGTACTTGGTCTGGTTTGGTCCTGCTTGTTTTCCCTCCATTAAGCGAAATCTTGGCCTTCTCCGTCACCGCCAGCTCTAACTTAAACCAACGTCGATCGGTGTCTGCAGAATCACATTTAACAAAGGAGATCCATGTCTGAAAGCATGTCCCATCTTTCCGTTTGACCATAGGTCATCGAACCAAAGAGAACAGACAGACCACCGTGCCTCACACTCCTATCACGCCACCAAGTATGTTAGATGGCATACTTGCGAGTCCACTCCCTGGCCGTCGCCTCGTAGCGTGGGCGATCGGTTTTGTAGACGTGGGCAATCTCGGGAACGAGCGGATCATCAGGGTTCGGGTCCGTCAGCATAGAGCAGATGGACAGAAGAACTAAGCATCGCTTGTTAGTGGAAACCGTACTGAATTATCCTTCCATGCAACATCGCTTACCTTTGGAAATTGTCAACGCGGGGCTCCACTGGTCACGAAGAATGTCCAGGCAGATACTGCCATTTGAGTTGATATTTGGGTGGTAGATGCGGGTGGTGAAGTTCACCTTGGGAGGCTTGAATGGGTAGTCTGTAGGGAAGTGGATGGCAAGGAAGAAAACACCGCCAGAGTAAGGCGAGTCTGAAGGGCCCATGATAGTTGCTTGCCAGTGGAACTGTGAATCTGGTTAGCCAGAGCAACGAGTTTGACGCGAGCTACTCGATGAACAATTCAAGCATGCCCAAGGCCGCCAAAGCAACCCAGAAGACTCGGAAAAGATATCATCAGCATATCACGAGGGGGTGGATGGGCATACCAGATCTTCACCAACGGGACCAGCAGAGCAGGAAGAGGGCGGGTCACTAGTAATCACTTGTCAGCATAACCGTATCTTCTTTGAAGTCGTCCCTCAAATCCATCGAAGCATCGTAGAGGTGTCTTTTGCATCTTGAGTTTCCCAGGAGAAAGGACCCCGCTTGACTCGCAGCCCCACCTGACACCATCTTCGCACTGCTGGGAGGGTTTCTGGGGAAGGAAGGGGGTGGTTTTCTTTCGTACCGGCCGAGGTCAGTGAGTTCCTTGTTAATGCGCTTAAGAGCCATTCTGTGTGATGCGTTGGGGGGGTATCTGAGGGTGTGAGAGTGAGAGATTCACAATCGTTGCGTTTCTGCAGAGGTGGTTAGCGGGAATGACGACGAATGCCACCGAATGCGGGAATGACGCACATCAACGAAAGTATGCCTTTCTCAGGACGACACAGGCGTGCAAGAGAATAAGAATGACTGCGATGCAGTTGGGGGGGTTGTCGGATGGCGGGTTGGGGCGTTGATAATGAACAGTTAATAATCGCCGGAGATGATGGATGAGAAGAAGTCTTGCAGGTGATTGTCAGGGTCGGCGGCAAGGTGGAAGGAGAGAGTGGAGGGGCCCGTCAGTCAGGTTTTTTAAGCCCGCCATCATCAATGCTGGTAGGTACCTCCCTGCCTGAGAAGTACAATCCGCAGCCCAACTAAACCCTGTACGTCCACTGGGAGGGGCGCCCGACTCAGCACCAATTCTCACTAACAGCCATGCGCCTGTGCGTCACCGCCTAATGCTAGGGAGTGACATTGGCTGTGGCGGGACACATGTATCTGGAGTCTGTTCAGCCTGTCAGTCCTGAGGCCTGAACATACCACAGCCTTCCGCTGACTTCGACGCACGACTCCAACGCTGACTGTGGCTTAGGCATTCATAACAAAGAAATGCCCAAGTCCTTGGCTTTCTTCGTCGCCATTGGTTTAAACCATAATCTGGAGATGCTGTTGCAGGTGACCTTAACGGCGGATTTTCTCTACACCTCACATGACGTCTCCTTCTTGGTGAGAGTTTGAGTGTTAGATGAAAACCAGCAATAAAAGATGCCAGACCCGACATCTCAACACCATGAATAACATGATGTCTCCTTGTTGGTGAGAGTTTGAGTGTAATATTGCAAATAGCAATAGAGGATGCCAGACCCGATATCTCAATACAATGAATAATATGACGTCTCCTTAACTTTTCTTCAACTTCAGCCACTCCTTCCTTTACGCTTCCTTTTTTCTATTTAATTACTCTCGCTCCTCCAAATGATTTTCCAGAACTCGCCGCGGCCAACCCACAGCAGATTCTTTCACGCATGCTGCCAACAAAGTCATATCTCCCCACTACGTCGACGCTTACCTAGCATCATGATAACACCCAAGATGATATCTCTTAGCAGCGTTTTATTGAATCGGAAAAGACCACTGCGACACGATCTTCGCCCTGGGTGGAACAGATACAGTAGCGAAAATCCCAAACTCGACTGAAAAAGTCGGCCAGCTCTTCTTAGATTTTCAAATCCATAATCGCGTCATCCATGCAATGAACGAAGTCGATACTAAGCTCAGTATAGATATCAATATTCTAGATCTTTGCTCATGGGTGTCTCTAGCTATTAAAACCTTTTGGGCCTATTATGGATTGCGTTTTCCCCAGGATATAGATGCTAAGAACTTCACCCTGGTCTCAAATCGAGTATTTCCTGTTCCTCTGCCAGTTCGAGATGCTCTTGTGGACGTCCTTTGCCCGCCAGCGATTCGAAAACAAAAGCAGGCTTTTCTAGCAAAGCTAGAGAATAAAAACTGTCTTCTTCGTCTCTACCTGGGTGTTAGGAGAAATGATACCCCCAACGGAAGAGTAGTTCTGAATAGACTACTTTCTGCGATGAATAGAGAAACTCAGTAGTATAAAACGAAATAAGGTGACAGTATATGCCGTATTATTTCTGAGGCATGTATTATTAGCACTTAAGAATCTGACAATACCAGTCGCAGGCTCGAAAATAAGCAGCTTAATGTTCGAGTGTCTCAATTTCAATGTCACCCACTTGAGCCCCAGGGCCCTTTATCGCTCAAATTGAAGAATGAGATCGCAAGGGGACAGTAAGTGGGCTCTTTTGATTGTGTATGCGTAGGTACCTTACATTCCTAAACAAAGGCCTGAACGCCAGTAATAGCCCTTCCTAGGATTAAGCTGTGAATATCGCTTTGGCCTTCGTATGTTTGGGTTACGAATAAGTTCGCAACATGTCGCCCGATCCCGTACTCGTCGCTCGTAGCATTACCTCCAAATATTTCCTGCAGAATTCTTGCGTTTCGAAGTGCCGCATCGCAGTTCTGGCGTTTGACCAGGCTGATCATCTCAGGCACTGCGTTGCCCTCGTCTTTGAGTCTGCCCACCTGTATTGATGCCACTGTTCCGTACGCTGCATCGGTCACTGCATCGGCCAGTTTCTTCTGGATGAGCTGGTACTTGGCCAGCGGGTTGCCCTTGAATTGCCGACGCTCGAGAGCATAGGTTCTCGCCCGGGAAATGCTGTCTTCCAATGCCCCCATTACTCCCATTGATATGCCGTACCTTGCGCTGTTGAGGCAGCTGAAGGGGCCCGTGAGGCCCTCCACATGTGGAAACATGTTGGCTTCCGGAACCGGGGCACCGTCCAGATGAATCATTCCGGTGATTGAAGCTCGCAGGGCGGTCTTATTCTTGATTGCTGGTGTTTCCAAAGTGCCTGGTGGGCAGTCCTTTCTCTCAACTAAGAATCCTCGGATCTTCCCAGTCTCTTGTAGTTTTGCCCAGACCATCAGCACATCAGCAATAGGGCTGTTGGTGATCCAAGTCTTGGAACCGCTCAGAGAATAATAGCCCTTCTTGGTCGGGTGTGGCTTCGCGACAGTCTCCATGCTGCCTGGATCGCTGCCGTGGTTGGGCTCGGTCAACCCAAATGCTCCGAGCAGCTTGCCCTTGGCTAGTTCAGGTAGGAATTTCTCCTTCTGCTCCTCGGTGCCGTGCTCGTGAATGCCGCCCATGACAAGCGAGGATTGGACAGACATTCCAGACCGATAACCGCTATCGACTCGCTCGACGGCGCGGGTAATCAGACCGGCGGCCACGGTCGATGCGCCTGCGCATCCATATCCTTCTAGGTTGGCGCCAAGCAGGCCCAGCTCGCCCATTTCCTCAAGTATTTTCGGGTCATAGTCTTCGTTGCGATATGCCTCTATTCGAATATATAAGCTTGGCTGCTACAGTTTGAGGGCTGCGAACAACCTACCCAGTACCCGCGGTTGTAGACGTTCTTGACAGTATCGCTCTGCGGTCTCGGCGATGGCTATCTCATCCTCGGTTAGGAGACTCTTTGTGTTAAGAGGGTCCTCCCAGCTGAATTGAGGACCTGTTGCTGATGCAAAATGCCTAGAAGCTTGCTGCAGAGGCAAAACAGGCCTGGCGCAGACTCTTACCGCTGAACGGAACATGGCGACGATTCAATTGCTTGTGTGTAAAGAGTTCCGAGAGCTTGAGGTTCAAGTCGGAATGCCAGAGGCTGCCCCACCTCCAACCTGGGGAAGCAGATGCACTAATAAAGAAATAAACGCGCACATCCTTGCCATGGAATTCGCACATGGGAGTAGCCGAATACTGCGAATGAAGTGAGAGCCACCTGCTGTCATTTATCTCGAGTGAGCGAATGTGGGAAATTTACACGAGCCAGTAACTCAATCTTGCCTATTTAACGAGAGCGCGCAACCTCGGCTCAATGGTTGCTGAGAAATTATATCTCGGTGCAATGACATTGAAGGCCCACCCTCATAGTGGAATATTGGGTTTGCCAGACATTAAAAAGGTTCTCGTGGTAGGTTATAACGTATTTGCGTGTTCCTGAAACGAACCATTGTGTAGATGGCGCCTAATTTGCAGCTGAACTGGAACCAAGGTTACTGCTCTTCAGTTGAAAACCATCTACGCCATACCTTTGCACACTCATCAAGTAGACAGGCACTTCTTCAAACGTAGTTAACGATAACCTCGAATAGCATGTAGCAAAGGTAGTTGGCTAGAAGAGCTGCCTTCACAATAGCAACACACCGAACGAGGTATCGCATTGAATATGGTGATGCTTTTAATAAATGCGGGAAGCAGTACCTGTATTATACTCAAATAACCATACTAGACTGCCTTTGAGACATGATCCCTGCTCTTGGCTTCGCAGCCAAAGCTACGAAGAACAAAATCGAGGGATGTGCGTAAGCTCATTGAAACCGTCGCAACTCCTCACTCTGCCTTGCGTTCTGACTCAGCCTATCCAATTCAGCCGTTGCAAGTACCACAGAAGCCATTGCCAGAGGACTTGCCCCCTCCGCTGACTGAGCCAACCCTACATTGTCAATTGAATGGTGTTCCTGCGGACAGCGTGCCATGCGCCTTCGTTCTTTGCCATCCTTCAATTTGGGTAGCTCTGGGAGTGTGTTCTTCCGTGAGGATTGGTTCGTAGGCCCCGCAGATTTCCAGACGCGCGTGCTTCGAAATCTTTGGGCGAGCCTTCTCCGAACACCAGTCGGGGTAGTTGGCTGAGATAGCGATATGCGCCTTAGTCCAACAGGAGGGACCTCGTATGAGCAACGAGGACAGGAGGGACTTTGCTTCTAAACGAAGATGTGTCAGCGTCTCATCCCATAGAGCAAATAGGGTGCTAGTATACCCCTGAATCCCTATACACCCGGGTCAGATCCGGACACGAAGCTATGCCATGTTTGAGATGACTAGAGGATGATGTCTGGGGAGAGGTGTCGGAGCCACTCTGGGATGTTTGAGGTCGCCATCCCTGTCCTCTTTTGAAGAAACTGTTCGGCCACTGTCTCCTTTTCGAACTTATTTGGGGCCGGCCAGGCTTAAACGCCGGCGGTGGCCTTGATTTAACACTATTGTCTGGACATTGATGATACTTGCTGCTTTCAGCTGGGGCTGGCGAACTCATGGATCATACAATAGAACAAAAAGGGGAGTTAGAGACACAGTATGGATAAATCATTCGGATGCGCGTCGATATGGGCGTTTGAGATAGGATTTCCAAGGAGAATGATCGTTGGCGTTTCTGTCGCGAACAAAGCTGTTTGTTTGGGTGATTTCTTTGAAGCTGTGACGGCAGGGACCTGAGAGATCTATGACAGCAAGCCAAGCTCGAACTGCTGCTTCGATTGAGAAGGTGCTACTCTATCTCAATGGATGAGCCGCCTTCTTGTTCGAGTAGACATAGGCA